TGTGTGTGTGTGTGTGTGTGCGTTTGTGTGTGTGCGTTTATGTGTTTGTATGTGCGTATGTGTATTTGAGTGTGAGAGAGAGAGAGTGCGCATGTGTGTACATGTGTGTGTTTGTGTGTGTGTGAGTGTGTATGTGTGTGTGTGCGTGTGCGTGTGTATGGTGAATCAACAAACGAATATGCAAGTATATGGACAGTCAAGATTTTGCTGACAGTGACAACACTTGGTTCAATCCTGTTTGCCAGGGCCAACCCTGGCGTTGACAGATACTGGTACACAGTTTTGACAGGGGGCTCTTGTGGCCTAGCGGTTAAGGTATTCGCCTCTTATTCAAAGGTCCCGAGTTCGAATCCGGGTAGAGACGGAAAAAGATTTCCTTCTCTAAAATATCTCCTTTCACCTCGTTTCCTACTCTCTAGCAATCTTCTGTCGTCTCCTTTCGTCTCCACTTTCAGCCCCAACTCTCTCGCCTTCTTTGCCCCTCCTCTGGAATTCTGACACTTTCTGCAGCCTTTCAACTGCTACTCCTTGGCTCCTTCTACTGCTGTCTTTCAGCCATACCCCTGATCTTCTGGTAGGAAAGATCTACACCTAGCCTTCTCTGCCAGGGGCGAAAAATCTCCGAGGTCAGGTATGCAAGATGCTCACATCAAAGATCCCTTGGTGGTCTCAAGTCGATAAGGGTAAGCTTTGGCCGCCACCAGTGCAAAATTCTAAACTTCCTCCCTTAAGTATGACCCACACGCTCATATGACTTTATGTAGTTGCGAGCGCCGTGAAACACTTACCAAAAATAAAATAAAAAAGTTCTAGCAGAAAGTCTGAGACACTTGATAAGAAATTCTACCTAAACAGGAATCAAACTCAAGTCGCCTGCAAGTGACGACGAAGCGCGTGACCACCACAGCACAGATGTCAGTAAGGGGACGAGTGAGTGTGAGATGGGAGAACATAAATTGAAATAAAAAGGTCTGATTCCAAGCTTCCTTGACGGACAATACTAGTCCACAGATTTTTCAAAAAGTTTTTGGCTTCGGGGCTTAAACAACACTTTATAGTCGGATTATGGGGGCCGAACATGAAATTGACAGTGAAATTTGACGTTTTGTTCTCGTATTCAAGATATTTAGGTTTTCATAAATTACAAAATAAAATAGATAACAGTAAAGTTGCTCCCGCATCCGATTCGGACACTGGGGGATTGCCTTGTTAGTGAGACAACTTCCTGGGCCTTCGGCATATTATTGTGGTAGGGTGGCTAGTTCATTTCCACGCCGTCTAAACTTCCCCAACTCGAAGTCAGGTACCCATTACTGCTGGGTGGACAAGAGGGCAGGGGTGGGGGGGGGGGCGAAATAAATCCGTGTCCGAACCCATGCTTGAGCACGGACCTTCCGCTTCGGAGACGAGCGCACTAACCGCTCCGCCATCGCACCCTCTTGTAATAGATATGGGAATTTAAAAAAATATCATTTTCTTCCTACTTATTTGACACATGGATCATTGGCTTACCTCTTGTGTTCAAGTTCTCGTACATTTCTGCTCACTAGGCAACAGTAGCTGTGCTAACATAGTATCACTCCATTTGCCATGATGTCGCTGTCCACAGCTGCGACGTCTCAGTGAGTTTGTTCCTCACGTGCATCATTACTCACGGCACCGCTCACATCGTTCCACGCAACCAGGTTGCCGTTCATTGTTCAAACAAGTGCTAGAACATCCACGTTAAGGTTTCTGAAGGCACTCACTCTCGCACAGTCAGCGAACAAATTCCTTTTTTCTGAAACTTTGATCCCAACAACCCTGCATTGCGTTTTGGCCGCTCTCTCTCTCTC